CCACACTGCCTGTTTGACCAGAAATGTAGACATCACACCTTGATTTAAGAAAAAATGCATCAAGAAAGATTGTTGCCCTCAAATGGCTTAGGTAAACAAACAAAAACCCACAAGATGTGGGTTGATGAAACTTAAGCTCTCTCCAGATTACTTTTTTGCCCTCTGCTGCCAAAAACTACGATACTTGCTCCCTTAACAAAATATAGGTCTGGTGACCCGAAGTAGCAACAACTAAAAGACATCACAGACATTAACAAAAGCCACAGTTTTGTTTTCTTCTCTCTCTGCAATTCATAAATATATTTTTACTAGCCTTTTGTAAGAAATGTTCTGTACAAATAACCTTGTCTCGCCAACACTGCTTCCCATGCTGTGTATTTCATGTGTGTCACTAGCCCCTGTGATAAGCTGTGTCATTACAACCTTATGAAGGATGTTAATGATCAACTGTTATTTCGTTGTTGATGTTAACAATTTAATCAATTAAAATATATTAACCAATGAGACAGAAAATAAAGACAAGCAGCTTAAATGTTAGAAAATGTACTGTAGATTAGCTGTAGTGCCTGCTTGCACCACCAGGTGGAGTTGTTTACTGTAGGGATGGAGTTACAGGTTTGTTTGCTGCCCACCAATAAGGTTTGAATAAAAGGAGCGCACCTCCCTGCTGTCTGACTGTTAACTGCAGCAGTCACGCTACAGCATTAAGTTGTGAAAAAGGTGTCTGGTGGCTGTCTGCCACTAGCTAACTACCTGCTGTTGCTCATGCAAGAGTAGCATTCTCAACAGCTAACATAGACTGAGTGTCTGTCAGCAGAAAGCAGCTATAGCTGCTAACATTCAGGAGCAGCAGGACTCTTGTGTTTTCAACAACCTTCAAATGAAGCGATTGAGTGCATTGGCGACACTTTTCTGAGTATAAATACATTTTACAGGTCGCAGTAAATAGTGACAGATATCCTGGACTGTATAATAATGGTGGACATCAGTTGCAGCTGAGCAGCTGTTTCCAGCAGCTGGACTGATGTTAACTACAGTGAACAAGTCAGTCCATTATGTACACATGAGGATTATTTAGATATAAAACCACTGTGAACAGATTACTAACATTACAGGTTACTCACTGTGGAAGACGGCAGCTCATTTGTTGTGCCAAATGCAGAGAAGCAATTTTTATATATTTTTAAAAAAAAATTATAATTAGTTTTTTGCTTTTTAATTTAGATTTCCAGTAAGCTGATGTCGATGTTATCAGTTTTCGAAATTCTTAATGTAGCCAAACCGATTTGATGAAGTGTTCAGAGAGGTTTTATTAGTATATGAAGAAACATCTACAAATACTATTTTCATAATTTCAATGAATCTTAAATAGCTGATTTTTTACTGTGGCTAACTATTGGTTAAAGGAAATGATTAAAAGTCTGCAGCCCTAGTTAGCAGTTATAATGGTTATCATTTCGTTTGGCGTGTGAGTGGATGCTGGCATTTGCTAATTAGCACTAAACACAAAATACTGATGGGAAGGTCAAATTAGAATTATTACTTCACAATGTCACTGGAGAAAACAGGGAATTAGCAAAATTATTACAATTCCTCCAGAGAGAGACAAACTTTATGGGAATCCTTCTCAGTTCAAACATTTCAATGAAAAGGAAAAATGTCAGCCACATGGTGGCGCTGGAGGGAAAGTCAGGGGACCCATGAAGTCACTCACAATAATCACAATCATCATCATCATCATTTGGCATCATAAATGGCCAAATGTGCCAAATCTGGTGTCAATCAGTTAAGCAGAAGTTAAAGATTAGTTTCACAGGATAAGTGACCAGTTTGCCCTGAAGTTGGCGCTAAAGGAAAAGCTGGAGAATCATCAAAGTCATCAGGATTCATCCTAAAAGCACCATGGACATCTGTGCCAAAGCTCATGACCACCCGTCAAATACTCCTTAAGATGATTCAGTCAGGACCAAAGAGGTGCACCAACCGAAGTGCCATCACTGCATAATAAAAGCTGACCATTATGAATGCTGATTTCAAGTGAGCTCCTGACTTCTGATCCACTTGTTGTAATATCTGAAGCTGTATTTTTTGGATTGTTACAATCCAAACATGAATTGTAACTACCAATAACAGCACAGGGCTTCAGTGGAAGGGTAAAAACTTCAAGGTGGTGGTGCATCATCAGTTGTTTGACTGAACAAGTCACAACCCAACATGGATAACTGTCATAATGTTGATCTTAAAAAAAAGGTGTCAGCAGCACTTCCAATTTGGCTTCATGTTAAACAAGTGGACACACAAACTAAAGACAAGGCAAAAGAATTCAGGGACTGAATCAGCCATCTAAAGAATTTGACAATATTCACTAGAGTAAAACATGGCATCATTTAGAAAGATGCCAAAAATGGCCAAAATACTAAAACATGTCAGAAAGGTGAAAGGGAAAATGAAAGCACAAAAAGCTGATTCAGAAATACTCACTGAGGTTTTTTCAAGACATTGTACAACAACATAAATTAATCCAAAACCCGCCTTTCATGTGATCAAAAAAATATTAACAGGCTCAGTTCAATTCAGTTTTAGCTATATAGTGTCAAATCATAACACAAGTCATCTCAGGGCACTATACATGTTAAGGTCAAGCCCTTATATAACAACACTAAAAGGCAAACAGTGACAACTGTATACGCTGCATAAGTTGCCAGCCAGTGGCAGGTGACCCTCACTGATCTGCCTCCACAGACAGCCTTCGTCAGTGAGCATTATTTGCTTTGTGACCCTAAGTGAAAGCACAGAGTGACATTTTCACAGGTTGGTTGCAGGTATCCTGGGGGCTTCAAAACAAACAGCATGAACACCTACTACAGCTCCTGTAGAAGAAAGCTGTGACAGTGGCAGGCAGGCTGCAGCACTGCTGAGTGCTAAAATGGCTGCTCATTCTCCATACAGACACAGAGCTTAGCTACAAGGAGGAGGGCTCCCACACCAGCAATTTGCCTCAAAACTGGCTCATCCTTAGGTATATTTCACAGCTTGTTCCTAGAGGTAATAATGAAAACGCAACATGCATGGCTTGCAACAGCTATACCACTGAACTCATAGGATAAGTCTCCTATGTTACAATATTCAAGACAATCAAGCACAAACAATTTCCTCCCTCTTCTACCAACACATCTCCATCAGTGAGCTCAAACTCTCACTTCTAATTGGAGAGGTAAATGTAACTACAGTGCTTTGGCATATCACCACACAGTGACAAGATCTGGTTCTGGGTTTTCATGTCTTCTCCAGACCTAAGCTGCAGAGAATGTCTGTCCATCACTCATCTGAAATTTGTTTTCTTGGATTTTTGAGCTGCCTTTAAACAAGATGAGCCATGGCATGTGGCAAAAATAAAGTCACTGTCCTTCCTTCTTTAAGTTTCTTACTATACTGAAACATCTTTGTTTATTCTTCTAGTTGCTTCCTACAATATTTTGTTTGTTGTTTACAGTCAGGTTGCACTCACACTGCTTCCACACCGGCAGCTGAGTCAAACTTTGAACTGAATAACTGAGGCCTACACTGAACTCTATATCCTGACTCTTATCTGGGCTACATCTTAGCCCGGTGAGGCCCAGCTATAATGTTTTCACCCAGAACAAGACAAAGTCAGCAACACCAATACTACACGGACAACACAAACAGATTCCCTGCAGTCACCAAGCAAAAACAAAGCCGTCAATTGCTCCATGTAGAAAAATATAGAAATTAAAATGGGAATCAAACAAAAATCCAAATACTTAACATAATAAAGGGGATTACTTATACACTTCAAATAACTACAGAAAACATACTGTCACATTAACATGCTGACAGCTGAAACTATACATTTGTAGAAATGCTGTTTTGAATCTTCCCAAACTTTTAATGACCTAAAACAGAATCCATCTGATAATTCTGATTATTGAGTTAGTTTTGTTGCAGTTCCTCAGAGACCCTTTACAAAACTACACTTCACAATTCTCTATAGCATAATAAAGCAGAATTTCAAAGTAATACAAATTCTCAAATGACATTTATAACTAAGCTATTATGCAACCAACAATGATGACAACCATTAATTCACCTGTGTAAGTATTTAGGCTTAATGTTAATTGTTAGATTTTATTCACAAAAGGAAATCTAAATGTAAAAATACTTGAAATGCTATTCATTGCAGGAATTAAAGTCTTTAAAGTGCAGTCAAATAATTAGACTTCAGTGTCAGTTAACTACAACACTGTATTATATCTTATGCAGATGTTTGTTGGTGCTGATTCCTCCAATGGACTTTCAAGGACGATGCATTCTGGTTGAAGCTGTTAATAAACAATATTTACTCTGAGATTTACTACACTGCAGTCAAAAGTACCCAAACTTTGTGAAGTGAATTTAAAACTTTACCCTTATGATTAAACACTCCTAACATGACATGAAGGCTACAACGCATTTTAATTATGAGCAAAAACTGAAAGCAAACAAACTGTATTTTGTCCAGTTACCTTCCAGCTAACATCTCCTCTGGCTGCATGCTTTTGATCTACTTTGGAGTATTTTTCCACTGAGTATGCGCTGTTTCTATAGGTCGTTTTAAAATGACTCAGAAGGCGTTTTTTGCTTCACGCCAACAGGTCAAGATGTTCTCTCAGTTTTCGCGTTCAGGACGCAAGTTGCAGCTAATTAACATGAACCTGAGCGACACCTTGAGGCCTTTCCTACATTCTTACATAAGAAGTGCCTGATCGCTTTCTTTGCAGGTGGCGGAGAAGTAAAATGCCCACCGAGCCCCGCACGTTATGCATTTAGTTGGAGAAGACGGTGTCAGTGAATTGTTGTAACGTTATGTGGAAAAATCAACAATGAGTCAGGCATGTTTGGAGGCCCAGAGCAGATCCTCCGCTGCAGCGGTCACTTCAATCAGGGTTTGTCGGGATGACATGCTGTCATGCAATTAGCACGATGCTTCTCGATTGGCTTACCTGTTTAGTTGAGATGATAAATAATGATCCTGCCAACGGGGTCTTGCTGTAGGTTGTCACGCTGGATGATTAATTCCCATGCAAACAGCAGCTGAGGCTGTGTGTAAAACAAGCCAGTTAGCCAACTTAGCTAACCAGCTTAATTTACTGCTTGCTCGCGACAAGGATGGTCAGATGTCTGACTTTTTATCCTCACTTACTTTGGATTGATAAATTTGCGGTCAGCGTTGTCGAACATGTTATAAACGCAAGTAGGTTAGCTTGGAAACCGGGCAAAAGTAGTGCGTTAGCTGGCTCACTATCAATTTAACGTCAGCTTATGTTGACAAACAAGCCTGCGTGGTTAAAATCACACACGACTTGAAGCTAGCTAACGCCAGGTTGCTAGCACGGTTAGCTTAGCCAGCTAACCAGCTTGCTAAATCCAAACCTCGTTCCGAAAATCCCTTTGCCCTGTGTGCGACTTATATTCCAGCGGCAGTAGCAAGTCGTAAGTAACTCGGTGAATCACTTGTGGGAGGTTTCTGCGTTTCAATGACGGCGCACTCGCGTTTGCTAACCCAAGTTATCGCTTTGGTCTCTGCTCTCCGCCATTTCCAATCTCTCAACACAAACAAACAGGGCTGCTCGTGCGCACGGAGCGCCGAGGCGCGTTCACGCTGAGGGCAGCGGGCAGCAGCTTCTCCTCTGTGCAGAGAAAGAAGAGGCGACTGTTGATGATAGGAGATTAATGAGCCGCTGTGTCACCGGGATGCAGAATGCACAGCGAAGCAACGTGTTCCTAGACACCGCAGAGAGTAAATGGAGGAGGCTGTGTCTTGATGCATTACACAAACTATAGGCCTCCTACAGCAGTGTGCCTTCATGCACTGAGCTCAGTGTTTACTGTCTGACATACTGATGCATCCAGACTGATGCACTGGAGCTACATAATTTATAAGGGTACAGTTTATGATCATCATTATGTAATTAGGACCCATATTGTCCACAATGTGGGAAACAGTCTTTGGTTTCACAACATCATTAAAAACAAGAAAATGAATGAAGACAGACATCAGATACAACAACTCACAGTAGTTAAAAGGGCACAAATGCAGCTGACAACAAGTCCTCATGTGTTTTGTAGTTTTTCCTTTGAATCTGGGGTTGTTTCCTGTCAGAATTACTGCAATCCTCGACCCCCCACACTATAAAAACATTTAAATAATGTTGTGTTGTAAGGTACAAGCAAGAATTCATCAAAGTTTTCAACACAACCTGTTGCCAGTTTGAACATGTATCCTACACAGATGTCGAATTATATTATAAATACTGACTGAAAAGACCCTACAGGGGTCAATTCAACTATTCAGACGTAGTATTTTTCCACCACTGTTCAGTATTTGTTCAACAAAATGTTCTTGCAGTTTCTTGTCTGTTAGGGGGCACGCTTCTGTAAAACACAATGAGATCTCATACTAGTGATGGGGAAATAGAGAAAAAGTTCTGAGATAGCTATTTTACACTTTAATTAGTTGCACCTAGTTTGCAAAATGCCAATGCCCATTTCCACCACCTCCAATGACACAAATTAGCTGTTTTACTCCATGTGATATTTAATTCAACATCTTTGGCTTTTAAATAGTTTTTGGGGAAAAAAAGAAACTGCTTGTTTCAAAAGTGTCTTCTTGAGAAACTGTGATTTTCCAATTTTTGACACCATATGGATTCTTCTTCTTTTACTTGGGTGCATAATTCCTTAACAAACACATTCATGCACTTTTGACTTAGTAGTATTAGCAAATAACTTTCTGTTTGCACATCCAGCAGACACAGAGGACAGTTACTGGTCATTTGGAGGTGTGTTTCTGCCCATCCGATCAATGTCTGTCCAATATTCCCTCTCCTTTAACACAGTGCTGTGGTCTCCATGTGTCTCTTAAGTGATCCACTACTCTGACCTAGAAGCTACAGACCTTGTGTTGTGTGCTGCTTGGTGCTGGACTGGTAGTGCACTGCAGGTTTTCAGGGGAGACCCTGCAGGTGAGTACGGTCCAATTCTAACTAACAGATACCACAATGGAACTTTCACTGCTAATTACTTACATATAAAAGATTTTTTTTTTTTTTGCTTCAGATTGATTTTTTAAAAATGTCTAAATATGCAAATTACATATTGTGTATCTAAATACGTACTAATTTGCTTTAATTTCCAGAACAGAAATCTGAACAGTGGATAAAGCTGTGTTTAAAATATCACAGCCAAAGGGTCTTTGATATCTCTTTTTATCAGTCCATAAATCAGAAAATACTAACAGCCAGAAAAATATATATTTCCGCCATGTTTTTAGGTACAAAATGTTGTACAAGTCTTATTATGAATGATGCATGAATGAATCCCTCTGTAATATCATTAAGAATATAGATAGAAATAAAACTGCAAAGTTTGGTGTCTGTAAGTGCTGCTGACATGGAGATTTTTTTGCTTACAAGTTCTCTTTCCCATTATTTCTGTGCTAATTTGCATAAACATCCAACAGGAAATTGTAGTAAAATAAACATCTAAATGTGTATTTTGAGCTTCTTCTTTTTTTCATTAGTTAAAAAAAAAAAGAAGAAGTTAGGACAGCAAAGTAGCCTGAAATCTGAAAACTGAGCAGTACATGAAAGATCTATTTATAGTGTCTCTCCTTTCGAGCTTCTTACTGCTGTGGTCGAATATGAGGTTGACAAAAACCAAAACAGTGCGCTGCAAGTTGCCAAAAAAGATCTACAGAGGTAGATGATTGTTTTCTCTGGGCCTATCCTTATGAGTGACACCTTACATGTCATAATTTTTTGACACATTTTATATATAAATGCACAGATGTTGATCAGTGCGGCTTTAATTTTCTCCCCTCACATGAAGCAATGTTTTGGAGACTTGCGTGGACTTTGTTCTATCAGACTATAGAGATGGTAAACAGCACATCTCCTGCTGTTTACTGTTCCTGGACGTTCTGTTACTCTCACAGACTTGTTTTGCAGAAAGTTCAGGCAAAAATCTCGCATACCTACAGCGTATGTCCTCGGTTGCATTGGTTATTGTAGCAGCACAGCTCCAGTCTGTATCCTCAGGCTCCCTCTTATGGCAATCTACATGTGAGAATGAGAGTAGCGTGTGTCTGGGTGTGTCTTCAGGAGATATTCTGGGAAATTCTCTGCAATAATTACATTGTGTGTAATATGTTGATTGGTCACTTACATTCCTTCAGAGCCTGTAGCTTCACTTCAAAGTTCAAGGTTATGACTCATGAAAACAGCCGTTTGATTCCAAGGCGCTTGTGACAGTTGGAGATGACTTATTACTGTTTGTTTGCCTTTTAGTCAAACGTAATAATGTCTGTTAAGCACCTCATTAAAGCATGTCTGAAAAGGGCGGTGAATCTGACGGTACTGTCGTTAAGCATTTACAGGCCAAATTTACGATGTGTATTATCACCACGGTGCTCGCTGCTGGCTCGGTTCCCAGATATTTTCATATGTCACGGCTGAGATCCCTGTCAGTCAAGGAAACAGGTTCCAATAATACCTAGTGTCAAGCCTTAATATCTTCTCATAACACTTTGAAAAAAGTGAAACAAGCTATTAAGACAAATTGCATCCTAGAAATCCAGCAACCTGTCATATAGCGAGAACTGGCTGCAACAGTAGAATGAATCAGTTGTGCTGCCTTGATGATGAAGACAGAAAATACATTTTTTTTAAAACATAACCAACATTTCTTATTTGTGTCGTTATTCATATGCAATCTGAAGTTTGTTCAGACAGAAAAGCAGGTTTTTAACAGTATCTGCAGCCACACTTGAAGCATGTGTCGCCTTAGTTTTGAATATTTTTCCAGGTTGTTCCTGCGTAGAACTCAAACCTTTAGCTGACTGTAAGAAAATGAATCAGACTGGAACTATTCTGGTAATTGATCAATCATTAAAGTCATTTTTCAAGCCATGGGGATGAGCCTTATTTATAGCTTCATCTTCTCAGTTGTGAAGATTTGTTACATCTCTTTTCTCTTGCAAGAGGAAAGTGAATATTGTAGAACTAATTTTGGAACTCCCTACTAGTCAGTCAGAACTGATGAAGCCTCTTGGATGAGAGGTGGAACGTTTTCAAGGAACTCAAGCCAGTCCAGTTGCTACGATTAATCTATGAGAATAACCATGACCTGGATGACTGAGAACCTTCACAGACAGTTTTGAAGACATGATCTTGGACTTTGAGACATCCCAGTGGACACTTTTCATGTATTCTGACATTTCACTTTTTAAAAAAATCAGAAGGGAGTTTGTAATTTAGAATTATTCATCATGAAATCATGTGTTAATTGCAATCATAAACTGTTCATAAAAGATGGACGTAGCTTTTGGGTCTGAAAAGTAAAACCAAGCTGGAAGTAGTCTCACATGGTCAGATCATTCTGCAGCACAGAATGGTCTGACTGCACCTCATTATCATTCTGCTACAGTACTGCTGTATTTCTTTAAACCAATCACAGTTGTACTTGGCGGAGCTAAGCAAAGGATGCTTCAGTGTGCTCCCTCGAAATAGCGAAGGGTGAAATTGTTCTGGTGGAACATTTGCATACAGGGGCACGAGCCTTATCAGTAAAATGGATAATCTACTGAAAATACACGCAGGTCTTTCTTACTGCAGATAGTGGAAAAGGAGAAGAAAACACAACAAAAAGCAGAACCAATGTCAAGAGTATACCTTCAATCTACAAACAGGTGAGTGAGAGCAATACAGAAGTGACTTCAACTTGCATTCCTTCTAACATCCAGCAGGGGGCGACTCTTCTCGTTTGCAAAAAGGAGTCTGATGAAAATCTATGAGGATATAACTCTACTTCTCACTTGATTAATTACTTCATTTATTAATTTAATAAACATTTTCCTCGTGAGTTTATGGACTCAGTCTCTAGTTTCAAGACGTTTTAAACACAGCACTGAGTTACTTTTGAAAAATGAGGTCCAGTTCAGAGTAAAACAGACAATAAAGCAGAGCATGATTTAAGGCGGGGCTACTTTGTCATTGACAGCTTCCTACCGTGTCACCGTGCAGTGTCTTCGATTTCGTTAGTCAGATTCAAAAGTGCTAGATAGTGAGAGCTAAATGTAAAACCTAAAGATTGAGAACAGTAGTTCACAGTCACGGTTGCAGTGTATATCAACATAGTCTATGGTAGCTGCCTTACTAGTGTGTTATCAAGTGGGCGCCTCCCTTCCTCAGTGTTCAGAAGGTTCAACAGTGAATCCTGCTGACTCACCTCCTCGATGCCATTTGGTCTCTTGGGAGCCCAGTTGGACTCTTTTCTCTTGATCCACAGCCTCTGACCGCCCTCTTCAACAGCTCCGGAGAGGTCTTACTTGTCAGTGGTCCTCCTCCCACAATGTTGATGTGGCCGCAAATCCTCTGCAGCTTACCTTGACCGCTCAGACCTTTTGCTTTCTGCGGCCACCTGTACCTCAGCTGTGCTTCAGCCTCTCGTACTCATCGGCCTCCTCCACTGCATCCTCCACTGCAGGCACAGGGATGTAAATGAGACTGAGAGAGGTTGACCTCAGCATAACGTCTGATCTGAGGTCGGTTGATGTGGTTTCAGCTGAGAAGCAGAGCATCTGGTAAAGTCCGCCTCCTTCTTCCAATTATGTGTTCCACCTCGCTGCCCGGCGTTGATGTGGGGATATGTGTTAACCTTTACAGATGCAAATTTATTGGCTGGATTCTGCACTAAGTAGAAAACAATATGGTGATTAAGCATTCCTCATTTCGTGCCTTTTTTAGGCAAAAAAAACTTGACATTACTTTAAAATGTGAAGGTTTGCAGGTTTTAACACAACACATGACATTTGATTTGATCAGCTGAGGCTCTGATGGGACCATTTTCTCATTATTTTCTATTTTTACAAAGCTTTCAGTTTTTGTTGACATTGTCTGAAAAGTTAGAATTCTACTCTGTTTATTTTTAGGACTGAAGTGGTTGTTGGTGGGGTATTGCTCTTATAATAAAGGGTGCTAATTATCTAATCAGCATGTATGACGGCAACAAAAACTGAAAATATATAAGCTTTGTAATAGTAGAATCTATAGCAGCGCCGTTACATTGGACTGAGCTAGATTGCAGGTGTTCTTAATAAAGCCTGTCGCATTTTGTTTTGTATTTTTTTGTGTCTATTAGCGTATATTTATTAAATTTGTAGCATCACACTGAAAGAGAAAAGATAAGTAAACACATATAAATGCAGGATATTGTCTTAATCCTTGTATCTAAGGGACGGCAGACCATTTTGCGATGAATTCTAAAGAGAACTTTGTGTTTTAATGACATATTTTTACCCTTTTTACACAGAAAAGTGGAGGCTGCAGCAATACCACGAACTGCCAGATTACATGTGGAGGGCAGATGAGCAGTTCTGGGAACACATCAGAGATGAACTCTGCTATATTTAATAAAATGGACGAGGGCACAATTATCTGCTGGGTCAAGGCAGGTGAGCGGTGGCTGTCTTTTATTTTACCCCTAACCATACAGACACTTTGCAAAGTTCGGGCATTTTTAGAGTGTTGATGTACACAGAATGTTGTTCACAAACACAGACTGGAACAATGAGAAGCCACTGAGGTAACTTAACTGTTTATTACCACGCAGTCGGGTTCCTCATGGCCTAATGTGAAATAGCAGTTAAGGTCAGTTGGGATGACTATAGTGTTGGGACTAAGGGAAGAGTTGGACACGTGTAGCTGAACAGTTATAATAAATAGATTGTGTCTGACAGGTCAGCTATGTGACCCATTTTTACGACTTTAATGTATCTTTAAATGAATGTCACCACTTCAGTGAAAAAAATATCATAGCCAGACAGAGAAATGTATGTTTTCCTGCCCAGTAGGTGCTGAAATGCCTGCAAATGAACTCAAATTGCAGCTTAAATGTCATTTGAAAATCAAGCATCTTCTTCACCAGTTTCATATCTGTACATGTGAGAATATCAGGCTCATCTACTGAGAGCCATGATGGTTGTGACCTGTGATCATCTGAACTACAATACAATCAAGACATTTAGAGATTTTTGCATTTCAGACTCTTTAAACGATCCAGATTTTGCAGTAAAAAGCCTCTTAAACATCTACAAACAGAGTAATCGCTTGTAAAACACAAATCTGCCCTTTAGAGTTCCAGCTCTTTAAGTACTTGAAGGTTGGTACTGAAAACTTCTTCTTCCTGTGGTTGCTCTGCTGAACAAGCAGTGACACTGGGCAGCAGTATTTCTGTTTTACTGAAAGTTTAAGCAGCTGTTAGGATTTTTAAAAGAAATTACAAGTGAATATTAACTGGTCCAAACCTTGCATGCAATGTTTCGAGGTTTTGTCGTGTACACTGACACATGAACTCTGCAGGAGCTACGTCATCTAGGAACTCCATTTATAGTGCAGTGCAGAAATGGAAATACTGACACAGTGGAAACCCTCATGTAAAACAACTTGTCACACAACAGGACGAGGCAGATGTTGTTCATACTGAAACAGACGACTGTCGGTGTGATCACACGAACTTCATTTACACTGCAGTTTATTTATGTAAACAAGACCAGCAGAGAATTCTGATTTGGGCCTTTTGCTGCTACAGTTGTAGATCAGTTCGTAGCTGGTGCCACCCAGGGCGCATTTTGCTTTTACATCACATATGATGTTCACGTTAATACGGCTCATGCTCTTTTGTATTTTGCACCTGAACAAATTAAAATTGAAAAACATTTTTTTCAGCTGTTATGTTGCATCCACAGACAATTGCTGATATGCACACGATTCAGATTGTAAACCAAAGTAAACGAATTTAAAAAAAATAAACGGCAACATCTTGGCAAGGCAGCAGCACCAGTCATTTGAAGAGTTTGAACTTGCGCATCAGTGGCTGGACAGTCTCTTTTGGATACGGTTTTAGAGCCAAGCATGTGGGGATGTTCTCTGGTTGTTCGATCCAAAGTTTGTGGGAGACCCCAGCCTGGGTCAGACTCTCTGACAGGCTGGACAGAGCAGCTTCATCTGGAGCCTGGACACACAAAACACACTCACTGTGGGCATGATACAGGAAATAAAGCATCACAACCAATTAGAATTAAGACATATATCAAATATATTAATCCAAGAACCACATAAGAAAATACTTATTTATTTTAGTACATAATGATAGACTTGTCTGTAAAACTGTAAATATTACCCAAATATTTATTTATCTATTTGCATTCTTAGCCATGTGCTATTGGGCTGCATTAGCTCTATACAGGAGCCCCAAACAGTCATCTGAAGAATTATATATAATAAGAATCACATTTGATTTACTTCAGACACAGGTTGAGGCTACAATCCCTCCTCAAGTTTAGAATCGTTGCTTTTACATTACAGCTGTAGAGAGTAAAACCTCCCGTAACGAGCCTCCATTAGAAATTCATCGTTTTAAAAATGCTCCTGGATTATTCAGGAAAGTATAATTTCTAGCTAAAACCTTATCACCATACTATAATCATTAGAGGTAGTTTTTCAATTCGGCACTCATCTTAAACGCCATACTGAACTTTTTTCCCTATAAAATTACGTTTTTTAAAAGTTGCTTGCAAACCAACCACTATGAGTAATAACAGCTGGTTAAAATTACTCTACATATAAATGAAGTGTTGCTGATTGTTATAAGTTACCAAAGCAACTTGTACCGTTTTATTACTTATATTCTGTTATTTTAATGTTAACGCAGTTCGCTTGTTAAAAATCCAAGCAGCGCTAAAGTAGCGTATATTTGAATGGACCCTGGCGGTCCGCGCTCACCCCCAGCACCACTTTGTGCATGGAGTCCAGCTCGGCCAGGTACCGCTGAGTGTCCGGGTCTCCGTAGTGCAGGTGGATGGCGGCGGTAGCGGCGTGGCAGGCCTGAGTGATCACGGCTCCCAGCGGCCACGACAGCTTGTGGACCAGATCCGAGCGGACCACCACGTACTGGACCAGCCGGCCCGGAGACCCGGCTCCTGCAGCCGCCATCTTCAGTGTGAACGGGAACGGATTGTCGGTTTGTTTATTTTCCGGGTCAAACGCTGCAGTGGTTCCTGTACAGATGCTGCAGCGCTGCAGCGCCCCCCGATGGATACTTTATGAACTGCAGGGTACAAATGTAGCCGTGAATAACAAACAGTGTGTCAGGAGAGAATAAAAACATAGTGGGACAAAGGTACATGCAGAAATTAAGCTGTACAATGTAAACCAGTGCATCGTAAACAAACAAGTATACACAAAAACAAAACAAACAAACAAAAAAAACCAATAGTAATAGTAAATTTAATTCAATCAAATACAACTTTATTTTTATTCTTATTTTATTGTATTTTATTCAACTTTAATATATCTTTAACCTATTAAAACCCAAGCTCTTGTTTGATATGCTTTTTTTTAAAAATATCTATTTGCTATTTGATCTGATCAAGTAGCAAAGAGAATGAAAAATAAAAAATATAAAGAAAATAAAATATATTTAGATAACAAATAAATACCAATAATAACTACAATCATTAAAAAAAAAAAAAAAAAAACTACTACGGTATTATAATCCAAAACGTGATGTTAAATGAGTGGTAGCACTTCAGTTTATAGATCAGCAAAAAAAAGAAAAAAGAAAAAAAACACTCATAGATGGAGAACTGTATGTTTTCATGCCCAGTTGGTGTTGAAATGCAAATTCAACTAAACACACCTTTATAACTTTAAAAAAAAAATGAAAGAGGAATAGGGTTCTCTTTGCATCTTGGAGCAGAACGCAGCTAAATCAGGTGTTCTCAGCTCGAAGTTTTTTGAGTACAAGAAATAATGACTAAAAGATGTGCAATAAAAGGCTCAGCATGCTCCTCTCCTTGTTCTCTGTGAATGAGTGGTATTATAAACCAACTTCAATCAGTGTTGTCCACAATGTTTCTGAAGAGATCACAAGGCTTTTCGTTTTTTACTGTTTAGAAAGCCCGCTGGTTCTTCAAAAAACCATCGCCAACTGAAATAACCTTTTTATTGAAAGGATGCGTTGTTGCATACTTCACAAGTTTTTCTTTTTTTTTCATTTTTTATTGGAGTTATTTGGTTGCAGTAATAACATGAAGTTATTTTCCTTCTTAATTATTCATTTGGTCTATAAAACCAAATGATTACAGGAATCCCCTCTGAGAAGGTTCACATGGAGCTTTATTGAGACAAAACTATTTCATGGAAATACCTTTAAGTTCTCTGGAGCGCTGTGAGCCAGAGTTTAATCCTCTCTGGTGGATGAAGTCTGCATATGTACACATTTCCTGTATCATTTACAAGATCGGATATAAACACAGCACCTCCAGTTCTTAAGAAATATGGTCTTATTTTTGTACACAACATGTTGATTGTTCCATAAGATGCTCATGTGCGCTGAGAAGTTGTGTGAAAGCTTTCTTCTATGAGTTGAAAGCTGGTTTATGGAAGTTTTTTTATATAGACACAGTCAGCCTGCATGTGTCAGCAGCAAATGTTCTGTAATGTTTGATTACAAGCAAAAGATGACATTATACATCTCTTAACTTCTGCTAAGACCCAGTAACACAATATACGATACATTATCTATACACCTCTTAATCCTCACTAGGGTCGCTGGAGTCTATCCCAGCTGACTCAGGGTGAAGGCACCTGGGAGTTTGCCTTATCTACTCGTGCAGCGTGGGTTCTCTCCAGGTTCTCCGGCTTCCTCCCACACAGTCCAAAAACATGTTGAGGTTAATTGGTGATTCTAAATTGTCCGTAGGTGTGAATGTGAGTGTGCTTGGTTGTCTGTCTCTAAGTGTAGCCCTGTGATAGACTGGTGACCTGTCCAGGGTGTCCCCTGCCTTCACCCTGAGTCAGCTGGGGTAGACTCCAGCCCCCCGCGACCCTAGTGAGGATTAAGCGGTGTATAGATAATGGATGGTTGGATGAGAATAAACACAGAAATGAGTGGACTGTATTGCCTTTTACTGACTGAGCTGAATGTTTGGTTCCGCTGGTCTTGATCTTTATCTGAAGTTGATGTTGTGGAGACGAAACAGACTTCATCTTAGAGAGAATAATGTTTATCGAAGCTGCTGATTTATTAGCTGTTGTTTCACTGCTGGGATTACTTCCATGGATATTTTCAGGTCAGGTTCTCTCTATGCAGCTTCCTCCTCAGTCAACAGGAGATCAGTGAGCACAGGGACACCAGTAGTTTCTGAAGACTGAAGGTCTTCATGTAAATGGGTAGTTATTTATTTCAAACATACCTTTATTTATGTGTTTTGGCCTTTTGTCCAAACGATCATGCAGCTTTAGGTCACTGACAACAACCCTCCTGGTAAGCTCCTTTCAGGTGGAGATGTTCAGAAGCTCACTGTACAATGCTGACTGATGACAGGGAGAAACAGAACATTTCAGAAACAGTGACAGGGATGTTTGCTTCTTGACTGGGTCCTGTCAGTCACCCACCATTTACGCAGCCAACCTGCTGTCTGTTTACACGAGCACAAACACCTCCAGTATACATGAACAATCATGTGATATGTGCATCAGGCGTGTTCGTATAGATGGAGGTTATTTTTGAAAAGAGTCTAAAACGCTCGTCTGGGCCGAGATTGTTTTTGTCATGGTTTAGAGGTTTCATTTGATTAATCCTCGTGTGTTCTCATCTTCTGTCTGTTTGCATGTCATTCTGTTCATCTATTTGTCCCTTTCTAGTTACTTCCTGTTATTTTGAAATCACCTTTCATGGTGCGTCACTTGTGTTTCTACTTCCTCCCTTTGTCTGTTTCCCTCCTTTTTAACCTTCCCTCATTAGATTTACCTGCTTCTTATCTCCCCTGTCACTTCTAGATGTATGCATAGTCTTGTCTTCCCTCTGTCTTTGTCAGATTGTCCTGCCTTATTCTTCCCTCTTGTTTGCATTTTGTTGCATTCTTTTGTTTTTTTTTTTGATTTCCTTGGATTGCTTCCTTCATGTACAGATTTCTTCCCCTGGATCACCAGTCGCCTTTTGCTTGCTCACCCATCTACACAGTTTTAGTTTTTGACTAAAGTAGTCTGCTGGGTCCTTACCTGAACACACTCTGACAGTTTTTTGCTTCAAAAAGCTAAAATAAATCAGTGTGGATGCGGCTCACTCACTTCTCTCTGTGGAAACTGGATCAGTTGAAGCCAAAAACATCAAGCTTTGTTCACTGAGGCGTTGAAAAGCAGCTTTATGACAGATACACAATTTACCAAATCCAATCAGCAGAAGTCATAAGACAGCTGCCGAGAAGTCTCTCAGAAGATTAGGAGCGTCTCTAAACAACTTGTCAGGAGGAGAAACAAGAACAAAAACAGAGGCAGAGCAGCATTTCACAGTGGATGACTTAAAAACAAAAGTCCTATTTAGTGGTGAATCCCAGTTAGAGGTTAGCGGCAGTATTAGTGGTGTTGATGTGAGGAAGTCAGCCGGAGAGAGAATCACTTCTCAGTGGATCAAACAGACACTGACTGGGGGGGGGGTTTTGCTACTATGGAGTTGGACACCTGCAGCAAATAGACTCCACCCTGACCCAGGAGGAGTCCATTCTTCAGAGACGTGCTCCACCTTCTGGTTTGCATCTTTGTGGAGAAAGATTCGTCCTGCAACACTCCTGACACGACAAAAACACAGTCTGGGATAGCATGAGTGCTGCTTGATGCAAAAAGAGAAGAAAGAAAAGATATCCTCATCGACATCTTTTTTTTTAGAGATTCAGCTTTTCACTCAAATTGTCGAGTTATAGAACAGAATAATAAAAATGATACACTTTATGATCCCCAATAGGAAATTCTGTTGTTACACGAGACAGCAGAAAGATTAAAGTGACCATAATACACATGAATGAGCACAAATATCCCATAAAGTAGTAAAAAATTATGAATAAGAAAATGGTCTCAAGTTCAAAATGCACAATAAAGTGTAAAATATGTTGTAATTAAAAATGTACTAAAGTGAAAAATGCAGTTAAGTAACAAATGCACACATGTATTATAGCAAATAAGTTCATGATTATAATTATAAGTTGATGTTGTCACTTGTAATGAAAAAATGTGGTATTAGACTAGAAACAAATGCAAAACAAGAGCATCTCCTCCAGCAGACATTTGAAACATTATGATGCCCAACTTACAGTTCCTAAACTCCTGTGTCAATACAAAAAATAAATTGCATCAAAATAAACGACAAGCAAACACGACTAAATGTCACAATAATTATTTATTAAGCATACACATTATAATATAAATATAAAATATGCTATTTTTGTTTTTAAAATTGGTGAGACATCATTATATCTGTGTTGAGACAGACAACCATACAAACAGGTTTTAATATTCTACCAAAATCTGCTGAAACTTCTATGCAGCTGTAACAAACTTGCCATGATGGTGCCGTCCTAAAATCAGAGCCTGTATTCATGGAGCATGTCAGAGAAGTGTAACTGATCTAGGATCAGGTTCATGTAAATGTCACCATAAATGAGGAGGCAAACTGGTCTTAGATCAGCCCTCCTAGTCTAAGATGCTGTATGCAGTGGGCCCACGTACAGAGAGAGCACAATAACCTACCATATAGTTCTTTATATATATATATTTCTTACTGTAGTCCAACAATGGCAATTAGCAGCATGATAATGCACCACTCATTTTTTTTTCTAGTTCCAAGAAACTGCAAAATAAGTTAGGAAGTAAAGAAATGAAAGAAACATCAAACATACTGATGATCATTGTCACTGTACTAAGAGAGAAACTCATCCACAGTGAAACAATCAGAGAGAATTAAACAATCAAATCAGATCAGAGTGATGACATTTGACGTCAGGATCGGGTTCAATTCAGTTTCACCTCAGTCAACGACGACAGCGAGTGGAGAGCCATTACGTATTTACGAAAGTGAAGGTTAATGACATCAAGTTCTGTGCATTTCACTGACAGATCGATGAGAATCCGTTCTCAAGCCATGACGTACAGCTTCAGTTGACTGAATCTGAAGTGAATTGATCCCCAAACCTATCAATGACAATAAATAACAAAGAGTTTTAACAATTTTTCGCTTTTTTTTCAGTGTTTTTTTTTTTTTTTTTTTCCTCAGTTTTTTTTCTTTTAAGTTTGGTTGACATGCTGAATCCTTGTGTTTGCAGGTTTGTGGTCGATCAAAAGGAAAAGTATTGGGCGAACCACTCCTGGCGCTGGGCGTCCGGGGAGTCGATGGTGGAGTCCTTGGTTTCAGGAGGGCTTCGGGGTCAAAACCAGCACGACAGAAATACAGTTAGAGACAGAGAAAGACAAGTCAGGAGAGAAGCCAGGGGTGGATTCATTATTTAGTCTTAAACAGAAGCTGTGGTAGAAAATACAATATTCAGGGACTTGCACTTCATTTAAATATTTCTATTGTACTTGACTGTCAGATTTTCTGAAACATGACAGCGTGTCATTTCCTTTCCTTTAGCAGAGCGAATGTCATGTTACGATGCTCAGTTTAATTAGGTTCAGGTATTTTCTGCAGCTCATTCTTTCCTGTTTTGAGCCACAGACACACAATCTAGTTTAAAATAACAGGTTGAGCTTGCTATTTTTTAACGTACAATTTTTTTCAGGAGAATAACATTTTTTAGAACCTGATGTGATGCAGAAAGACACAGAGGTTTGCAGAACCATCCAACATCATTCAAAAGTAGGTACAATTCTACTCTATGTCAGCCAGTGAAGCAAAATGTGACACTAGTATGATTAAATGAGCCATTTTTCCTGCATTTTGACAACTTTGAGGACATTTAACTGATATCACATATTTAAATAAGCCTTTGAATGCAGGACTTTTACATTTTATGACGTATTTTTAATTTGTGGTGTTGCTACTTTCAAGCCAGTCAAGAATCTGAGCCCATTTTCCACCACTAGCATCTTCCATTTTTCCCTTCTTTGTGCTTGGTCCTTTTCTAAAGTAAGAAAAAGTTCTTGTTTTTCTCTATTTTTTGGATGCAGTCCATTGTTCGCTATCACTATTGGCTACAGTCCCACGCTGGCCTGCATCTGCTTCTGTGCTACCAGTGTTATTTTTCTCACTAAACCAATGCCAATCGATGTGTGCTGCATAGAACTAGCGCCTCTATCTGGTGTCAGTCACTGTTCTGTCCACAGGGGGGCAGCAGAGCCTTTGTGTCCTGACTTCATACGGTTTCAAACGTATGTCAGAATAGCATTTAGCACCTTTAGAGAGGATCTGCCAGTTTAACGTTGCACACAAAGCAGAATGTTTCTCAAAAGATTTAAAGTAAAGGCTCAGTGAGGTACTATATGTCTGTTGTCGTCAGCTCATCCCAACACCAGTCATGAATTGATCTTGTGTTGAGAATCCTCTCGGTAGCGCGTCCCTGCCACGGAGCTTCATGATTTCCTCTCCAACTATGACAGATAAATCACTGTTGTGCTGGATGACATGTCCCTTCATTACAACGAACACACTGTACTAATTTCAGATCCATCATCCTGCTGCTGTGAACGCTCAGTAGAGCAGCACTGATGCTCTGTGTGTGTGTGTGTGTGTGTGTAACCGGGGCTTCGTCGGCCTCGGCTGGGTCGCCTGGGTGACGGCGTGAGATGTTGACAGCTCTGAAACACCCACTGACCCCAGAAAACATCCCTGATCATGTGTCCAGGAGCATCAACGTGATGGACTGATTGTCAAAAGCCTCTGACAAACACAGTTGCTCCCCTTTTGAGTCGCATTTGCTACGAAGCTACAGTGTGTAATTGTTTTCAGTGAGTATTTAAAGTGTTTTTTGACAAGAATTAATTCAAGGTTAGCAGTGGTGGGGAGAGGTTATTGGTGTACAAGTGACTGACTGTACCACCTCCACAACCTTCATCCGTTTTTATTCTTCCTACAGGTAAATGTCATCACTGGTAATCATGAAGCTGCACTTACTTCCTGACTTGTGTCTTTGGGGGGAAAACATGTTGTTCCCCAAAGTTTGAGCTAATTAGGCTGAGTATGTGCATCTATCAAAAACAAACACCTATTGGAGGCCAGTTGTGCGTTCTTAATTGGCTGCTTCTTGAACAAACAGTCCCATAACCCCAGTTTAAAGTAAACATTTTGGACGTTTTTTTTTGTTACTCTCTTTGCCTGAGGCAGTCAATTACTTCCCAAAAGAGTTCCCCTATATTTGTTTAGCCTAATGAATCACGTTTGTACTGTACATGGTCACAGTCTGGACTTAAAGCATTCTGTTTTACCATAAATACATAAATTATTCATGTTTATGTATAACTGGCACTGAGAATTCTCATATTGAATAAACACGATGGCGCACTCGCAGCTTTTTATTCACAAAAATATAGTCCGTCTGACTGATAAATGAAGATCAACCAGTCAAACGCAATTATTTTAGGACGCTTTTTTTTTTCTTTTTGTGTAGGAAGTGCTGATTGTGAGAACCAAGAAGACAAGGAGAAACGAGAGGTGAAATGTGGTGGAATGACAATGTGAGCGGAGATGAAAGGAGGACCGCAGGAGCAGGAGGAGGAAGTGTGATGGAGAGGACATGAAGAGAGGTTGGCTGAGGATGAGATGATGAGTCAAGGTCAGAGGAAGAAGCAAGAAGACAAGAAAGGAAGAGAGAAGAGAGTCAGAGGGAAGGAGTAAGTCTTTACAGCAGAGAGATGTTGTGACCTCTCTTTCTATCGACAGGAATCTGGACCTTGCGAGGGAGAGCGAGAGGTTTGGAGGAGGCTGAAATCCTGCAGGTCTGTCTTTTAAAAGCAAAGCCAAACATTCAAAAGCTTATATTACAAATGTCAGTCGGAGGGGAAGGTACATATTACTGTTTCTGCAAAATGTACCAGAGCCTGAAACCAGTAAACCAGAAACAATCACCAGACTTGCAACGGTCTGCCAAATACAACAACCAAAGTAAAAACCCTGCTGCAGCACCACTGACCACCGCGCCTCCAAATGAAGCTGGAGAAACTCAAGAATTAGCTCCTGAATCTGAAAGTAAGGCTCTGAAATTGAACTGAGCAAGATATGCCAGCAGAGTGTAACAGTGTTAGAGACTTGCTTGTCTGTTAGTGAACAGTGCAGCAGAAGAAGTCCCGACTTCATCTGTATGTATGTTCAGACAACAAGCTGCTTGTGTTCAATCCATTTATATAGTTTTTAAAAAATCATTAATTTGTATATTTCTATGTAAAACACAGTAGCCTATATATTTCTATACATCTCATTTTTTCTATGTGGATCTCCTCTTGAATGGCTGCTATTGATGATGTGTTAAACATCAACATTTAAAAAGTAGCTAATACTGTGAGTACTTTTTGAGAATATAAGTATTTTCTAAGTGACAGTTGTTTTACTTGTAGTTCAGTAATATGTCCGTAATCTAAAGGTACTTCTATTTGAGTACAGCATTTCAGTACTCTTTCTGCAACTGTTTGAATGATTCCAGAAAATGTTTATTGTTCTAAATAAACAGTAAGAAAATAAAAAAGATTAAGTGGGAAGAACTGTACGGTGTTCACATATTTTTTTTTACTACATAGATTCAGAAACTAGGGCTGCACGGTGGCTCAGTGGTTAGCGCTGTCGCCTCACAGCTAGAAGATCCCCGGTTCGCGTACATGAGGACACCACAGATCTTTCTAAGTGAAGTTTGCTTGTTCTCCCTGTGCAGCGTGGGTTCTCTCTGGTTCTCCAGCTTCTTCCCACAGTCCAAAAACATGTTGATTCTAAATTGTCTGTAGGTGTGGATGTGAGTGTGCTTGGTTGTCTGTCTCTAAGTGTGGCCCTGTGATAGACTGGTGACCTGTCCAGGGTGTCCCCTGTCTTCACCCTGAGTCAGCTGGAATAGGCTCCAGCCCCCCGTGACCCTTGTGAGGATTAAGTGGTGTATAGATAATGGATGGATGGAGATTCATAAACCTGCAGGAAAAACTTAAAGCCGTGTTTATTTCTGTATTTCAGGTGAGGATGTTAATCTTCACTGCATTAATGATCTGTGGCCAACTGCAGTCCCTGCTAGCTCCAGACTCAAAAAATATTTTGATCTTGAGTGTAAATGTGATCAGTTTAGTACACAAAACTGTCATCTCATGTATAATCTCACTACGATAAGTTCTGTCTTTTTTCAAAAACCGGCCTCTTTTGGCAGCTACGCTCTTTTCGGTTGATAATCAATATTCAGCATTCAAAACAGTGTTTGCCTTTAGTCTGTGTAGATTCTCAGTCCTCCAGTCATAGTGATCCTAAATGCTTCAGTAGACAGTAACCAAACTTTGACTTGCCTTCTGCTGAGGCACTGAAACAAACCTAAAGGCCAACTGAGGGTGTGTGTGACGTAAATTTTGTCATCAACCCAACTCCACGATGGTCCACGAGCAGTTCTAAATCTGTACACTGCACTCAAACACGCTGACTGTGTGTGTGCCAGCAAAACAAATAGTGGTTCAAATGAATGCTGGTGAGGAGACGCTTCCCACACCTTTATGATTCACCGTTAAAAGAGTACTTCAAGTAGATGCTGCTAAACTTTGGAGGAGCTTTGATGTGTTCATGCTTTCTATTGATGGTGCTCAAACACAGTGTAGAAGCTCTAGATTCTCCAGATGTCGTGTGCTGTGAAGGCCTCCGGTGCTCAACACACCAGTAGTAGTGTAGTGAAGTGGTTGAACCAGAGTTTGTCCTGAGCCTCCATGGAGAGCTCCACACGGACTCTTGTGGAGATGGTGAACTTTAAGTCACATGGACATGGAAAGTGTAACGCTGTCCTAACAACGGCACTAGTCAGGTAAAAACATCAACAGCAGTTTACTGTATATGCACTAAAATGACTAAAATGAATTAAATTACCTTCATTTAATGCCATACCTGCTCATATTCACCAAAATACTCCTTCTGATTACTGTCTGGATGCTTATCGGCACATTCAGCAAACAGGTGCAAGTTAGAGGCTTTACAATCTATGAATGATTCACTGAGATGAAGTCTCCTCGCTGCCTCACCGAGCAGCGAAATGTTCTGTGCAGGCTGAAATCCTTTTAGATAAAGTTTGTCAAGGGTTTGTGACCTGCTGAATTAAAGGGTCAGATTTACAAATTGCTGATCAGTCAGCTGTTAGGAAACTCATTAATGTGAGGGCAGAGAGATCGACTCCAAATGTTTGTTCCGAGCTAAGAGGGGGAAGAAGAAGGACGAATCGCCTAATAGAGTCTGAAAACATTTCAAAGCCGATCTCTAATATCTGACCTCATACTGTCATTTCTTCCCTTTGTTGTGTGAGTGTGTTTGTGTAGCTGCTCTGTATTCCCACCGACGGCAGCGAGGAGCAATCGCGTGTGCGTCCTCGCTGAAGAACATTTGTGTGTGTGTGTGTGGCTTTTTGTAACAGCGAAAGGTGGGTCCCATAATAACAGAGCTTTGTCCCAAGCTTTCTGCAAAGCAGCCACCATGTCATCGTGGACATAAACAGCAGCGAAACATGCAGCAGAATGGACAGAAAATAACACTCACTCACACGCATGCTGTAAACCGAAATACTGGTGCATTAGAATACAACTCCCAGCATGCAGCTACACACTGCATGTATTCATGTGAGGCGCATGTTACATCATCCATTATCGGTTCACGCACAGTTCATCGCAGCCACGATCGTGAAATAAGAGAAAGCGTTTATTGCACCGTAGAGCTGAGAATTGAAGCTGTTGTTAAAAATCAGACACCACCACACACAGAGGGGACAGTCCATGATAGCAAAAGACAATATCTACTTCATTAGAAAGTCACAGGAAAATAGTTTATTTGCTTCGTATGAAAATCTCCTTTAGAGCAGAGGAGGAAAAGTGCAACATGCTGAAATTTAAATGAAGATGAGGATGAAGAAACGGAATCACAAAGTGACACAATGCAACAACAAAAAAAAGCCACAACAGGTATTAACAACAAGTTGTATAACTTCCTGAACAGAAAAAATAAAAAAAAGCCTGTCGGCATGCACACCGTTAACATGTTCAGACTGACGGACACACAGTCGTGGAAAGGAAAAAGTAAAAAAAAAAAACATGCCTCTTTTGCATTCCAAGGCCATTCTTTAAAGCTTCAGTCGCACATGGGACTCCTGTGTTTATGTTCAGGCTCTATTCTCTAGATATTTATCATGTCTATTTACAGAGCGGCCGACGTCTCTGAGTTCAAGGCGCTGCAGCAAAAAGCGGTCTTTAATGTCAGCGATGTACGGTATAAACCTCAGGCCCCGAAAGGCAACACAGAGTCATGTACGAGTCTGTTTGATTGACCGTTCGCCAAAGCCCCTTCCCTGAAGAGCCCGGCTGGGTTATCGGCAGGGCAGAGTGGGCAACAGAGACCGACACGGGGCCCCGGACTGGCTCTAAGTGCAGCTACGACGGGGGTCCTTTATCCTGTCATCTTGTCGAGGGACTCTGTATCAAGATCCAGCTTCAAAAGTTTCTCTTGAGCTTTTTTTAGTGTTTAATCTCATTCTGTCTGTGTGTAACTAACAAACAGAAACCACACGTGGCGCAGTATTACTTCTTCATAGGAGCACTGTAAGGCTGCCACCAACAACAGAGTTGATCAATGATACATCTGACAGGTGATGTCGTTAATAATTAACATTTGAAAGGTCAGAAAATATCAAAATATGTCTGTAATTATCCTTTAACAGAAGCTAAAACCTCTAATTCTGCAGTTTACTATCATGTGAACTATGAAACTACCAAATTACTGATATAATATTTTCGCCAAAATCAAATATGTTGATATTTAGCATCTAATTTTGACCGACTGCTGATATCGATGCATGCACGTATTCTTCTCACCTGACTGTGGAGAACATCAGGTGTCTCCTGTAGCAGAATCAACATATTATTACGTCTATTTTATCGCCCACCGGCTGATTCTGACACAAAACACCACCCGTTGTGGATGTTATTACACCTTTTAATAGGCGTTATCATGGTTCACATACATATGAGCCAGTGGGGACCTTCACTGTCTAGTTGGCTCAGTAGGCTGTTGTCACCCATTTAATGGTGGTGAAGCCACGATTTAGCTCTAAAAGGAGGGACAGAAGTACAAATGATTATTCACTTAACTCTCTAAACAACCAGCGGCGGGTTTGAAAGGCACGTTGTCTTAAAAAGTGGTTTTAATCATTCTAAAGCAAAAATTGTAAACATTTGTTTGATGATCTGCTGCTTCTCTTCATCACATCTGTATTTGTAATGTTTTTGAATCGTGGACTGTTTTTTTTAAAATAAAGTAGGCAATGCAAATATATAATCTGTGAAATTGTAGTAAGCGCCTTCCACAGTTTTCTGACATTAATTGACTGACACGTACTAATTGTGAAAATAGTGTTTCTTGCAGCTCTGATCATTTAAGTAGCCCCGAAATAAACACGTTCTTACATAGCTTTAAAATGAGCTACCTCGAAGCAACATATTTCATTTCAGCCAACTTGCGGAGCTACAGCAGCTACAGCTGAGCTACAGTTGGCTTTTAAGTCGACAAAATCAACAGCTAAAGATGAGAAGCAGCTTTTGTCTGAAACCCATTGTTTCAAACGTTTCTGATACAAATATGCCGCAGTTGTGACTGTGAACGCAATTTGTATCATGAGAGCACAGAAAGCTAACAGAGGTGGGGATCAGCGAACACTCAATTCCAACACATCAGAGTGTTTAAAGGCTCTTATTTTAAAAATCTGCAGCTCATGATGGTAATGATCTCATGCTCCTTATGGTGTATGAAAGGGCCACACTTGGCAGGAAAGGATGAAGGTGTAAAAAATACCTGTTACTGTCCCACTGAGAAGGTGAGTTTCTGGTGTTTTCTTTGTTTTTTTTTTCAACTTTGAGGCTTAAAATACATGTTTTCTACATGCAAGGTTTGACTCAAGCTACGAGTCAGATCAGTAAAAGTGCTTTAACCTCCTTTAACCAGCAGGAGTTTCCAATTAAACAGAGGCCTGTGACTGGATGGTGGATGTGCGGGTTGTCGAGCTGCTGCCTGAAAAGGTCTCACCTCAGGAATTTCTTGGGTTCGGTGGGAGGGGTCGGCGGGGCAAGAGGTTTGTTGGAGTTGAGCTCCAGGTGGTGGAGGGGGGAGTTGGGGATGGGCTCTAGGCGGCTGGGCGGGGCTGGGGGCGGGGGTGGGGGCTGCGGGGGCTGCCCACTCCCCGTACCCACCACGCCCACGCCCCTACCTGCTGCCTCCAGAGCCCTGAGATTGGGAGAGCTGCTGAATCTGCTGGCTGCAGTTTTCTCATTCTTTCTCTTTTGCTACACAGAAACAAAAAAGAAAAGGAGGGGCATGGGGGTCAAAAAAGGAGCAAAAGGGTAGGTTTTCAAACAAAAGATAAGAAGGAATGAAAGGGGGGGAAAAAGAGGGAGAGCTCTAGAGGTCGTAACAGTCCAGCCGATGACAGACAGGAAAGAGCAGCGTGCTAACTTGATCACTTTAAATGCTGATCGAAGCAGAGTGAATGGATCGATCTGAAGACTGGCGTCACTCAGTCACAGTCTTAAAGCACCAGTCGCTCTGAGCAGAATGACAGTTCAAGATGAGGAGAGATGCGTCAAAGCAGGAAACATCTCACACTAACAAATGGCTTGGAAAGCAAAGGAAAGCTGGAGATAAAGTCAAGAAGAGGAGGACCAGCCGAACTGGGTGGAAGAGTCACTCGCACATTTATACACAAACACAAGATGGAGAAGGATGACGTGGGAAGAGACACGCAGCACATGTAACAGCAAGAACAGAAATACTGGAAGTTATAGAACCTGTGATGGTGTCGACAGTTAAATACCGATCATGCAGTGGGAACCATTCAACTCAGACACACGGTGAAAAATGAAACATCGTGTTAGCCAGGTGCACTGGAAAAATATCCTCTCAACCAGTTCCCTGCTCTGATTTATGAGCTCCATGAACACACTAAAATTAGAACAGTCTGCTTTTATGTGTTTGTCCTTCTCACTGCTTTGAAGCGAGCAGAGCTTTGCTGGGATATAATATTATGACCCGAAGGTCAATCAGGATTTAGCAACCTTTGAATGACAATCATATTAGAGTTGCCAGGTAATATTGTGTTTGTTCTCAAAAAGTTGACCTTGAATTGCTTAGTTTAACTTTGTAGCTTTAAACGTGATACATTGCAGATTTCTGTGATGTCAAACTTCCAAAATGAAATTGTGCTTGTTTTGTTTTTAAGACTAAAAGCCGTATTTTTAGTGAATCGCCGCCGTCTGTAGCACACTGCAGCTCTTTCGTTGAAAGTTAATGAAGCCCAAAATCCAATTGTGATCAAAGATGCAGATTTTATGTGATTGTGTTCATTAAAACTGAAGGCCATTTGCTTTTACTTTGTGGAGAATTTTAGGTACCTTTTGAGCTGTGACACTTTGGTTTAACTGCTGTTAACAAATGAGACCTTGGACAGCCTCCATCTCACAACATCGGTGCTATTATTCAACAGATGGAACAAAAAAAAATCACAACAGTTCCAATTATTCATGCTATTCCAGTCCTCTCACCGTCCACGATGACCTCTGTTTTACAGAAAAGAATGGATGTGTTCAAATGGATTTCTCTATTGTGCCTTCACCATCTGCCATGAGCTCTGAAATTTTTCACTGTTTTCACTGGAACATCGTAATCCTCTCTTTAGCTGTAAAACAGCTTCAGTTTGTGTTAGTGCTGTAGCAGATTTCCTGCTCAGCTAAACCTTGAAACATTCTGGTAGAGGCTGATAGTTTCCTCAAAAAATGGTCTCATCTGTTAGCAGCGATTACAGCAGTATTTGAAAATCACTGTGGTTATGGTTTGTGGTTTTTACATTACAGCACAACCTATTGTAAAAACTTCAGTATTGACTGTCCTGGTCGATCAGCACTGATGGATATGGAATGATTCGGAGTGGATATCATCTTTGCTATGTAGTAACAGAAAGCGACAGGCTTGTCAGAGCGCCCCTGTGTGTGGCGTGTTACAGGATAATAGGGCCTACCTTAATGAGTGGGTTGATAACTCCTACGTTGGGACTGGCGTTGAACACTTTGTTGAAGTTGGTCTCCCTGTTGACGAGTTCCAGCTGGTAGAACTTCTTATCGTCCTGGAGGAGAAAAGCGTGTTAGCTGACAGCCAGTGAGGCTGTGAAAGACTCAAGGGAGTGTGAAAAGCCTGAAATTCACACGTTCTGTCGGCAGACTTTTTAATAGTAGCACACACACTTCATGAAAACTGCTTAAAAACAGCAATTCTAATAATTCCAGCCTTCCTCCCACTGGGACTTTGGACTGGCGAGTTTCCTTCAAAGCACTCTAGTGTAAACTTTTCACCTCGTAATTGCTGCAGACTGTGGACCTCACACTGAACCTCATGACTCAGAAACCTCAACGGCAGCAGCAGTGAAAAACGTAAGCTGATTTATAAAGTCACCTTCATGTGATTAGTGCGGAGGAGCCACAGTGTCCCTGACAAACCCAATGAAAATCACAGTGTTAATGAGGTGAAGCACAGCGGATTTTAAACTGCGTAAAAGACAGAAAGTAAGGCCGGCCGTGTCAATGTGAACCAGCGGAGACTTCAGATAAAGCTTGAAATATGTTATAATTACAAGTTAGAAATCTCTTCCCATTTTACTAATCAACATCATAGACTGTATCTAAAAGAAGAATGTAGCCATCAATGCAAAGTGCCTTAAAGTGTGATACTACTGATGACCACTAGGGGCCGGCTCCAGAACAGCTCTGGTTCCAATAGGCTCCCATTCTAAAAGTGTTCACTCCTCTCATGAAACAATAACTAAATAACATTTTCCAACAAGTTACCATAATATAATTTGCTACATTACCTCCTTCTGTTTAACTAAATAGAAATAAAACCTCAGTTTTCTGTAACATCTGTGAAGATTTAGGACCCCAAAACATTTCAGTCCCTCTGACTGAACAACAAGACATCAAAATACAAGGTGTCTTGAAAATGCTTCCAGTAAAATAAGAACAAACTTGAAATAACTTGGCCAATTTTCTAGATATTAACAGAAAACGGGCTTGTCCATAACGTGGTTTGATGCTACTGGTGCCTCATTAGTCTATCAGTACTGTGACATACATTTCTTTTTTTTAAGTACAACTTGGGCTACTTTCATTTTTCAACAAAAAACAATGTAGGAGTGTATGGTTTCTGCAGACTTTTGACTGTTTTTCATTTATTCATTCTGTTTTTCTGCCTTTCTTTTCCCTGCAGCAGCATCTCTCATGCACGTTCGTTTGTGAAACTCTCCATTCAAAACCTGCTGCTACATCTAAAATCTATCTCTGATGAACACATTTTCTTTCCACACTTATTGCTGCACATAGCTTCTCTGGGCTCAGGCATTACCTCATCGGCAGTTACCTACCACCAGCTTCTTGACAAGGGATTCTCGCTCAGAGACCATGTCCTTCAGCTCGGCGATAATCTGCAGATCTTCAGGACGACTCTCTCTGTTCCTAAACTTCTCCTCTGTTCCTTCCAGCCTGTAGGATGAAGAGATAAAAATACAGAAGCATAAATATTCTGTACAGGAGGTCCACGGAGCATCATTCGGGCTTACACAGCTTATGTATATAAAATCATTAAGCACTATAAACATCTTCTGTGAGACGGTCAGTTTATAATGTGATCCGATCATATTGTGTGTAACATCAAACATCAATTCCAAACCAAACAGGAGTACGAGCCAGCTCCTCTTATTCGATCCTGCACTTTAGACCGTGTGTGTACGAGATGGAAGCATTTATGGGGTAAGAAAATTAAATGTGTGTACTACAAGGATTAAAAAGATGAGTGATTTATATGCTTTCCTTTTTCATTAGCCCTTGATCAATAAAACAGTAATTGCCCCTGGTTCCTTCTCCTGCGTGCCCCGTTCTCTCATCCTCACAAAAAACCATTAGGAGGCGGGACGTGGAAACCAGAAACAGAGCTCTTCCTCTGGAGGTTGTTATGACTCTGAGCTATGAGAACTTTCAAAAACCATTATAATGGACGAAAATCACCGCTTGCGTAAAACGTCTGATTCATTTAACATCCGGTGACATTTCCCTTAATGCAACACATGCTAAAGATTGCCATGGAAAAAAAAAAAAAAAAAAAAGGCCATTAGCCGAGTGAAGCATTTTTCAAGTAGAAAAACAACCAATTGTGACACTGCTGGCTGGGAAATGTGTTATTTTTTTTGAATTTATAACAAGATGAAAGCCTTTGAAAGCACATATTTCAAAGCAGCAGCACATAGTTCAGAGAAGTAAAGTACTTTGAAAAGTTTTGCTTTGCTTCAGAAATATCTTTTAAATGTTCCCACAAGCACAAGCCGTAATGAGTCACCAGTTGCTCTCTTTGTACTAAATCATCACATCGACCTTATAATTGGATAGAAAAGTTGGTTTTGTACTGAGTGCTTCATTGTTGACATTTCCAAAGAGTTTTGTAGCAATTTGGTTTCGCAATAACCACATTTCTCTTTGTGTTGGCACCCTTGCAAGTTTGAATTAAAACAAGAACAAACAGAATTTTCTTCTGAAGCAGTCAAAGTTGTGCTACAGGTGTCATTTTCCGGCTGCAGATACAAGGTCGCTCAGGGAATATCAGTGATTCTTTTCAAACAAGGGCTGCATCAAAATTGCATACTTTGTCTTTTATCTTTCAGTACGTACGATAGCTGCTCTTAGAAAGTATGCAGTGCTTTATTCTGCAAGCATACAACTGAGACGTACAACTTCAACATAATATTGCACCTTATGCTTTGACCATCTTGCTCATGTATCCACTGCAGTCTGTGGTGTGAAATGAGCTGTTTGCAGTCTCCAGTTTAAGCTTGTTTCTGCTCATGCAAGACACTGTGATGTATCTGTGCCGAGGATTGTGGGGCAAAATGACCAGAAAAGCGTGCTGGCTTGCAAAATCTGACTGGATGTAGGAGAACATCCTGGATTTGTTTGCATCCTGCATTTGGTACACTATGTACTGCAACACACTAAATCTTTTTCTGTCGTACTATGTAGTGTGGCAGTATGGATCCCAAAATGCACCTAAGCTGTGAGCCCATTTCTGTGTTTTCACCAAGTTATGTGACAGCAAGCTTAACAGCCTTTCACTGCTCACACCTCCACTACAAACCACCGAGGGCTATCTTTGTGACATTTATGTCACAGTATGAAAGGCCGAGTAGCAGGGCGGATCGCCTCCCTGATAAACAGCGGTGTCTCCGAGGAATGTCCACCACTGTCCTGGAGCAGCTACTGGGGCTCAGCTCGGTGATACTGATACATACTGATCTGCAGTTTCATCAGATATAATGTCTGCTGCCAAAGCTGGTCCTGCTGAGCTCGTCTGATAGCCGATTTCCTCCAGTTTGTCGACTATTTTCTGCAGCTCAAACATCAGGATGAAGAATCATGCTCCAGCAGTGTCTGTGCTTCATAAATGTGTTTGTTCTAAAACAAAGAAAAGGGACTATCTTAACTTAAATTATGGCTAAAACACTACAGTATGTGTATAATGACATGATATTACTATCACCTAAAGCAGTAATCAGGGAACTGCTCATAATCTTTTATACACTGTTAATAAAAAAATGGCCAGTACAGTTTTAAATCCATCCATCCATCATCTATACACCACTTAATCCTCACTAGGGTCATGGAGGGGCTGGAGTCTGACTCAGGGTGAAGGCAGGAGACACCCTGGACAGGTCACCAGTCTATCACAGGGCTACACTTAGAGACAGACAACAAAGCACACTCACATTCACACCTATGGACAATTTAGAATCACCAGTTGACCTCAACATGTTTTTGGACCTTGTGGGAGGAAGCCGGAGAACCTGGAGAGAACCCACGCTGCACGGGGAGAACATGCAGACTCCACACAGAAAGATCCTGGGTGTCCTCGCTGGGACGTGAACTGCCGACCTTCTTGCTGCAAGGCAGCGATGCTAACCATCGAGCCACCTTGCAGCCCCAGTTTTAAATCTATTCATTATATAGTTTGAAAAAGTTGCTATGCAAAAGAGGGTTTTTCTAAATAACAGAAAACGTCTGCAAGTAACATGCTGTTTTAAATTGTATACCAATTGTCCTCATTGTCTAAAAAATGCAGACACACAGTCCCAGCAGGAGAAACTACCTAGACTAGACTAATACTTGAAGGAAGCTCACTTATTCAGTAACTCTTCAAATGGAGCCAAGACAAATACCATCTTGTCCAGTGGAGTGGAGCAGTGCACCACTGAGGGTGGTGGGGAGTTTATGATCGAATCCAAATATCCATAAAGGCGTTTTTTTTTTTCTCCTGCTGTACACAGACTGTGTTGTTCCAGTGTGTATATACACATCTTAGAACTAGCTGGTTGAACTGTATTTTTCCTCTGAGCTGGAGCACGCTGAGGCCAAATGTTCAGTGTCCAGCTATTTTGCACCTGAGTGCCACAGCATCAGCAACCCTTCACTGAGCAGGAAGCCTCTCTGTCACACCCGGCTGCAGTGTCACTGACACATGAAAGGCAAGAGAGTCCGGTGTCACCCGTGGCATTTATCATATTCCTGGGTCTGTTTCAGATCACATAGACAGAACATTTCCAGGGCTTGGACGAATGCACCTGTTATTTCTTTGGCTTATATGGAAGCCATCAGGCCGATTTTCTTCAGCACGACCTGCAGGGGGAAAATCTGCTGCATGGTTAAGCTGATAAGAGACACTGGACAGCCGCTGCTGCACCAAAGCTGTAACAAGGTGCTGATGGAAAATTTCTAGTAGTTCATTTTTGGTAGGGGGTGGATAAGATGATGACTTGGAGTCTCACAGTTGGAGATGTTGGAATGTAATATAACCCAAAACTGACAATGACTGATGGTCAGGAGGAAGTGTTGGGTGCGAATTTCTGCTATCTTCACTGCCTCCTGGTCGTGTCTTGACATTTTCGCTCACTACTGCTGCCCCTGCAGTCACACCATGTTCACATTACAGTGGAAAGACCAGCATCTCAGCTGCATGTTGGTCCGTACAGTATATACCACTCCAAAACTGTGCAACTGTAACAGGATCAGTCATGTAGCAGCAGTTTCATATTAAATATATATGTATTGTTTTATTAGTTATACATATTGTATTATATATATATATTATTTTACTGTTTTTTTGTTATTACCTTTAATCAATAGAATTCCACAAAATCTAGCTTGCATTTGGTTTTGGTGTGGAACCTTTCACTTTGGGGTCTTAGTACCCCACGTTCGTTTTTTTGGTTACCCACCGTACCCCTATAAATGAGTTTTTCCCGCCTTGCCTCTCCCCTTTTGTACATGTATCTGACGGGAGAGGTAAGCGAGACTGTGCTGCTGTTGTCTGTGTGTCAACTGATGTACATAATTTCATTTATAAGTTTATTTTCCCAGTTCTGATATGTTGTTCTGTCATTTAATTTCTGTAGCAGTACAAGCTGAGACTGACAGCGGATTTTGTGGTTGTTTTGTCGTCTGTCAAGATATGTACTGTATTTACTGTATGTATGAATGGTGAATGTTTCCTGCCTTACGCGGCCCCCGCCCTTTTGTATATGTATCCGACGGAGAGCAGTACAAGCTGAGACTAACAGCGGATTTTGTGGTTGTTTTGTCGTCTGTCAAGTTTGTCAAGTGTCAATAAACGAGATCACCTCAAAAAAGATTGGTGTTCGACTCATCACAACGCAGTGCCAAGACTCCACCGGTTACACAACCTTAACTATTATGCTGCTGTTGTTAGCAGCAGACTGTTTCGGACACTCTTACTTTGCTTTTGTAACAAGTCTGCTGCATTTGCTTGCTGGTATTTACCAAGAGAATAGAGCATGTGGTCTCAGTATAAAGGTCATTTGTGGCCATTAAGTGCAGCTTGGAAAAAAAGTTCAGCAAATTCAAACTCTCAGCACACCTGTTCAACGCACAGCAAACACCCAGCCAGAGAGTTTAAAATGTACCCAGTCTGACTCACCAATCTGCATTGTATGTGGTTTTCTCCTCTCCTTCTGCTATCCTTGTGTTACCAATTGAAAAGTCCCCTTCACTACAGGAAACAACAACAATCTCCCAGCAGCAACCTACACACTCAAAGTAGAAAGTTTTACCAAGGATTTGGACCTGCACTAAGGCAGTCCTGCTTGGTTCTTCTGGTGAATTAATCACTTTAATGACAGTGCTCGCCTCCCTGTGCGCAAATGCTCCATCAAAACAATTCCCCTGTCACTGTTTTGCAGGCACATCCAAACAAGCTATGGTGTTACTTTTAGCTATAGTGGAATGATAATAAGGTGTAGCCAGACCATTCTCCAGCACGGAGACAGATCTGGCTATGCAAGACTACAATGTACGACAGAAGCGATAAGGAAGCGGTGCGTGCAGAAGTTGTTCCTCTGTGACAATGTAAACACAACATTAGAAATCATGTAGCATGTCATGTCTAAAGTGAAAAATATGATTTATCCATTTTTGCAACCAAA